ACAACTGAGGATGACTTCAAGTAAAGTTATTTTCGACGACATTCGCTGAGATTGTGGAGATTGTCACCCAATATTTGAGAAGATAGCACGAGATGGGCGGTCTTCGACGACATTCGCTAAGATTGTGGAGGTTGTCACCAAGATTTGAGAAGATAGCACGAGATGGGCGGTCTTCGACGACATTCGCTAAGATTATGGAGGTTGTCACCAAGATTTGAGAAGATAGCACGAGATGGGAGGTCTTCGAGGGCATTCGCTAAGATTGTGGAGGTTGTTACCAAGATTTGAGAAGATAGCACAAGATGGGCGGTCTTCGACGGCATTCGCTAAGATTGTGGAGGTTGTCACCAAGATTTGAGAAGATAGCACGAGATGGGCGGTCTTCGACGACTTTTTGCTATGATTGGAAAGGTTGTAACTATGATTCCAGAAAGAGGCTCGAGATGTAGCAGCATTGATCGACGGCATTCCCTAGATTGCGGAAGATCATCAAAACAAACAGCAAGATGGCGTTCCCTAGCTTGCGGAAAGTTGTCACTACAGCATACAACAGTAAATGGGTTACTTTCAGAGACGTGTGCTCGACGGTGCAAGATACGCGTTTCTTAACTCTCTTATCTGTTTTAACTAACGCTAGTTTGCAGGTATCGGCGTTACAAGAATGATTTAGGATCGCAGAACGTTCTGAATCATTCTCCGTCCCTATCGATACTTTGACTTTTGTTTTCGAAACTTGCATTTCTCCAAACTCAGTCAAAGTGGGGGCTTCTGTAGACACCCAAATGTGTCTCCCCAAAACCAAACCCAGTGATGAATACCTTTCATGTCATTTGATTATCAAACGAAGCGAAAGTGTGAAAAGTCTAGTTATGAGGATGTTTTTATTAAAATATCTCTTCTTTCTGTTTTTGAAAATATTTCTTTTCTTACCTTATTTATGAAAAACGAGCATTCCAGTTTAGTTTGGTCCATGAAATGGGTCCAATTATGGTTTAGTTGGATGGGATTTGAAAAGAACTTTCCAACGATATATTATAAGCCCAATTCCGATGAATAATGAGGAAGTTATGGTCAAAATACTAAACTGGGCCCAAACCGGATTTTACCTACGACCCTATGATCATGGGAGGGTCCAAAAGTTTAATCCTATTCCTAAACTAATTAGGATTAATTAGAAGCTTCTATAATTTTATAAAAGATCTTAATTATCCTTTTTGAAAAGATAATATTAAAGAATTTGAGTTGAATAAAAACTTTTCTTTTTAAAACTTTCCTTTTCTTAAATCCTAATTCTATTCGAATTTAAAGATGTTCAAAGACAGTCAGATTTTATTTTCGTGCCTCATAATCTTTATCAAAAATTTATATGGTTGGATAGATATTGAAATTATATTTCCAATGATATATTATATTATTAAATCCGAGCTATAACGAAAAAGATATGGATGAGATATGAAACTCTATCCAAAACAGACACCGTCCCACTATTTTGGCCATAACTTTTTATATAAAAAATATTTTAATCTTATTCTAATTGGGTTGGAAAGTAGACTTCAAGATCTTTCTAACGACATATTATATGCCTTATTTGGACTTTCGAATCAAAAGATATGATAAAAACAAAAACGCGTGAAACTGATTATTAGCGCCTACGCTAAGCATTAGCGCCTGACGCTAAGACTTGGCGCCTGTCACTAACCTTTAGCACCTGTCGCTAATGACCAGCGTTTGGCGTTAATCGATTTTTATTCTAGTTAAAACTCTGGTTCAATTTTCTATCTTTTTGGCTGATTTTCTCTATAAATAGCCTCCTAAAAACTCCGTTTTAAATCATCAATTGTCACCAATTCTCATCAACTGTCATCAAGAATTCTTGATTCTCTTCCTCTTTCTGGCCTAGCCTTTTACAAACACAATTCCTCATACATTAGCACTAGACACACCTAGCATTGTTCGAAGTTGCCTTCACCCTAGACGTGAAAGGTTTGATTTCTGAGGGTTTGGTCCCAAATCAATATTTCAATTATTTAATTTAATTGTTTGTTTTATTTTCCTTGAAATTACTAACGTGTGTATTTTGTTATTAGAAAGAGATACGAGGCATCCAAGTAAGTGCTTTAATTGTTTACATTGTTATTATGATATAGAAATCATGTCTAGGTTGTTATTATGATTCCTAGTGTTATGTTAGGGAGTTTTGATCTTCCTAGTATCATGTTTAGGGTAACAATTATAATTTCTAATATCAAATATGACAATTGTGTTTCCTGCGATGCTTCCTATTTTCTTCCTAATATCATGTTAGTATCATGTTAGGGCTATAAATTTGATTTTTATTGTTTAGTGACATGCTAGGGTTTGTTATTAATCTTGTTAGTATCATGCCTAGGATCTTGTTATTAATATTATGCTTTAACATGATTGTTATAATTATGATTATGATTATAATTATAATTTATTGTTATTATGTTGCTTGATATTTATTGTTATTGCTTGATCACACCTTTTTATGCATGTTTAAAGGGAATTTGTACTTATAATCACGCTTAATAAGATAATTAATAATCTTGTTTAGGGTTAATATGATTATAATTCAAGTGATCGCCAATAATAGATTTATTTGTGCATTAATATTCAACTAACATAGATAAACAGGTTTAGGGTAAACCTAATGATTGCATGTTAGTCAGAAAGCGCACATGAATACGATCAGAATAAAGTAGAGGCCTTTTATTAAGGCAGGTTCAATCTCTTTTAGGTTGGATTTGTACCTTCATCCCCGAACTACCAGTCATGGTTCCAGACCTATTGGAGTTGACGATCTCCTGGATTGTTAAGGGGTGTAACCTTCACCATGTGAACGCTTTACAAATTCCTAAAACTTGTTGGCTACTCTTTTGCTCTAGCTTCCTTCCCTTTGGACGTTACCGTACTTTAGTGTATAATCACAGTGGGGTTCAAGTTTGGGGTAATGCTTGAAATATTCCCTACACTTGTTAATTCTTCATGATAGGATTAGCTACCCTTGATTTTGGAGTTTGAGAGCATGGTATGCTTAGTTTGACATGGAAATGTGCATTGAGTATATCATTACTTATTGCAATTTGATTATGTATCTTCTATTGCTAAACTAATGAGGAATCTATGTTTAGTAGTGTGATTTGTTTCCTAATTGCATGAGGTTGATCTTACATATAGTCCTTGCTATCTCTTCTCTATTTTACTCCCTATTTACCTAATTACCTTGGTTGAGTGGATCTCATTCCCTAGTGTCTTTAAGCCATTGAATTAGAACTATAGTTTGTTTGTCTACTTGACGAACCCCCAAATCACTAAAGACTTCAGATTAGCTTAAGTGTTAAGATCCTTAGCAACCATATCCCGTTCCTTGTGGACCGAACTCTTACTTATCATTGTGCTTGTTTTGTAGGATGTTTGTTTATAAATGTGTTTGATTGAGTGTGGAATGTGCGACCGTTCTAACTTCTAACGCCCATCAACTATTTATTTTAATTAAGGTTCCTTGCCTATTTTTGTGCACAAAATTGCACGACTACTATCTTGATGCATAAAGTGCACTACTATACTTCCTTGACTGAAACTCAACTTACTTGATTGAGTAAATAAATAAACTAGATTCTTGAATCAACACCAATAATAAAATGGGTGAGAAATAAATTCATGAATCATGCTCAATAATTCTAACTTTATCTCTTTTAATCATATATAAGCCTTGCTTATTAATTTCATGTTTTCCTGATACTTGAAAATAAAACACACTTTCATGATTCATACATATTCAACTTTTATTATTCTTCAAATAACATATTCACATTCATTTCCAATCATATAATCAACCAAACATGCTACTAATTCATCACTAAAATCATACTTAACAATCCTAGCATGATATTACGTGTAGGGAATATTTCAAGCATTACCCCAAACTTGAACCCCACTGTGATCATACACTAAAGTGTGGTGGCGTCGCCAACAAGTTTTAGGAACTTGTAAACTGTTCACATGGTGAACGTTACACCCCTTAACGATCCATTAGATCGTTAACTCCAATAGATCTGGAACCAAGACTGGAAGTTCGGGGATGAAGGTACAAATCCAATCTAAAAGAGAAAGAAACTGCCCTAATAATAGGCCTCTACTTTATTCTTCTCGTATTCATGTGCTCTTTCTGACTAACATGCAATCAATAAATTTAACCCTAAACATGTTTAACTTATGTTGGTTGAATATTAATGCACAAACAAAACTATTATTGGCGATCTCTTGAATTACAATCATATTAACCCTAAAAAAGATGATTAATTATCTTATTAAGCGTGATTACAAGTACAAATTCCCTTTAAACATGCATAAAAGGCGTGATCAAGCAATAATAATAATAATAATAATAATAATAATAATCATAATAATCATAATAATAATCATAATTAAGATAATTATAATTATCATAATCATAATAATCATAAATCATAATCATGTTAAAGCATAATATTAATAGCAAGATTCTAGGCATGATACAAAAAAAATTAATAACAAACTCTAGCATGTCACTAAACATTAAAAATCAAACACTAGTACAAAAATTGGCAAAGAGACCTGTTAAAATATGCCTGAGAGACCGCATCACAACGGGTCTCTATCTCAGAGGTCTGTTTGATAAAGAGACCCATTCGTTAGAGGGGTCTGTTTTTGAGGACAAAGAGACCTGTGGTAAGTGATAGCAGGTATGTTATATATGTTACGAAATTAATAATTTAGAAAAAAAACAATCCTGTTATTTGAGACAAGGGGTCTGTTTGGTGGTATCAAACAGACCTAGTATGTCAAATAACGGGTCTCTTTATTCTCCAACTTTTTAAAAAAAAAAAATTTGCTTTTTATTTGTTGTGGTTCGGCAGGTTCACATTTGAATTTTGAAAATTTTGTTTGTATGCATAAAAATTGGCGAATAAATCAGATATGTAAACTGTAAGTTACAATTTAAGACCACAGAAATTAGCAATAGAATGAATAGATTAAAGTATAATTGATGTGATACAAAAAAAATTATCCAACATAAAATTGCAACTGAAAAAAGAAAAAAAAATTGAATTTTACTGAAATTTACAATTATAGTTACATCAATAAAGACTTGAATACTCCATCTTCATCTCCTTTTGATTGAGCATTTCTTGTGACGAAATCACGCAAATCTGACAAAAAAAAATTAAAAAAAGAGAAATTGCTCTTAATGAAATTATATAAAAGCTATAGTACTCATATAATTATATTAGTGATCCAACAAAAATAAGAAAAATAAAAAAGCTAATTAATTATGTAACATTTATTCATTGAGATAACACTACACTACAACCAAAACTCTATTATACTTATAAACAACATATACCCATTAGCATAATAAGACAATGTAGAATAACACCTGCAACTACGCATTGTTAAAGTGAATGAACTACCCGCAACATCATCTCGGCCGAACCTCCATTAATCAACCAATTTTCAAAAACTACCCAAAGGCGAGATCCGAAAAGGGGACTTCAGCCAAAACGAAAATGGGTAGTTGTAATTAAGAATTCTACTAGAAAAATTATTTGAAAACACATTCAATAATAATAATAAAAATAAAAAAATACCAATCTATAGATCGATTACCTCAATTTTGATAGGAATTCCGCTTATCATTTAAGAGAACAATTCTTCCTAATTTCCAGATCTATTAGCATAAGAGGTTGAACTTATTTCTGCCATTGAAAAACTGAAGTATACGTTGAATAGGGTTCAATATTGGGAAAAGTTGAATGCGATTGATGATGGTTTATGTTGTTTATTTTTCCACATCTCCCGTTAACTAGATGATTTCTTGAACTTCAGAAAAATGTAAGGATGAAAAGTAAGTAAATTGAGGGGAGAGAAAGAGCCCCTATTTACCATTGCAATGTTTTGATTCAATGGAGAAGGGAAGAGCAAGTGACGGCAGATTGAGAGGATGAGGGATTTATTTTGGGGTTAGGCTTGGTTTGGGTGGAGGTTTTTAAGATCAGAGGGGAGAATAGGTGAATGACTTGATAAGGGATATATTAATATAAAAAAAAAAAAGTACGGGATAAAAAGGTCGGGGAAGCAAGGGTAAGACCCTCAAAAGTAGAGAACGGGTCTTATCTCTTCTTCTTTTTTCCCTAATACACATAAGAGACCCGTTATAATTAATATTGGATCTCTTATATCAAACAGATCCGTTAATTAAATAACTGGTCTTTAATTGGGGATCATTTTTCCAAGTTTTGTAATAGTTAAAGTTTTAGCCCTAACATGATACTAACATGCTATTAAGAAAGACAATAGGAATCATCATAGAAATCATAATTGATATAATTAAGAAACTTACTTTTACCCTAAACATCATACTAAGAAAAGCATCCTAACATGATACTAGGAATCAAAATAACAACCTAAACATGATTTCTATAAAAATATCAATTAAACAATTAAAGCACTTACTTGGATGTCTCATATCTCTTTCTAATAACAAATACACACGTTAGTAACTTCAAGGAAAATAATAATCAAGAATTAAATTAAAGATTAAGAAAGTTTAGACTAGATTTGGGACCAAACCCTCAGAAATATCAAACTTTTCACGTCTAGGGCGAAGGCAACTTCGAATTATGCTAAGTGTGTCTAGTGCTAATGTATGAGGAATTGTGTTTGTAAAAGGGTAGTTTAGAAAGAGAGAGAGAATCAAGAAATTCTTAATGAGAGTTGGTGATTGTTGATGAGAATTGATGAAAATTGTTTATGATTGTTGGTGATTCAAAACAGAATTTTAGGAGGCTATTTATAGAGAAAATCAGCCGGACATGATAAAAAACGAATCAGAGTTTTGAAAAGAATAAAACACAACTGTAGCATCAAACATGCGCCTGTTGCCAGACGCCAGGGCTGTCGCTAGACGCTGCAATCAGTTTTCCACGCGTTTTCTTATTTTGATAAAATTTAAGCGTACGAGAGGGCAAAACTGTAATTTCCTTAAAAACACTTCTTTTATTCCAATTAAAACTCTTAAAAGTCAATTTATCAATGCTAATCAAATTAGGATTCAAAAGAACCTTCTAGAAGATTCTAGAAGACTATAATCAATCCTAATTGCATTAGAAATGATAAATCATAATAGGCCCTCCTCTAGATCCTTGTGCCGCATATAAAAATCAAATCGGGCCCAGTTTAGTAATTTGGTCATAACTTCCTCATTATTCATTGGAATTGGGCTTATAATATATCGTTGGAAAGCTATTTTTGAAAACCAACCCAAATACACTATTATTGGACCCTTGCCATGGACCAAACCAAACTGGATTGGCTGTTTTCTCAAAATAGGTTTTCAAAAACAGAAAGAAAAGAAATAAAAACTAACCGCAACACTAGACTTTGTACACTTTCACTTCATTCGATTATGATTCAACGTGAAAGGTACTCATCACTGGGTTTGGTTTTGGGGAGACACAAATGGGTGTCTACATTACGCATACACAAATATTCTTGTGTACATATGTACCTTGAATAATGCCTAAACTCGGCCACACTCGCTAGAAATCACCTAGCTCGAAGCTTCCTACAATTAAGAATACATAACTATAATTAATCCACTATTCTCACAAATTTTCAGCAACATAATACTATTTAAACCTTACTAATCTACCCAATTTAATGAGATAAAAGTCATAAAACCTTCACATTAAGTGGGTACCTTAAATCCTTTCAAAATTACTTAGTTTTTATGATTTAAATAAAATTTCAACATACTTATTTAACATAAAACATCACTTTTTACTATGAAATCATATTTAAATCAAATAAACCTTTTCCCCTTTTATAGGTAATTAAACCCTAACTCAATAATTAAAAAGTAGTCTGTATAATTAAATTTTAGCATCAAATTGAGGGCTTTAAACTCATTATAAATATGTTTAAACCATGAATTAAATAATAACAACAACCTAGGATCAAACCCTAACCAATTACATAAAATTCCCAAATTCTAGGGTTTATAAATTAGGGTTCTTGATTAAATAAAAATTTGAAATTTATATGAATCATTTAACAACATCATATACCCAAAATCAATACCAAAACATAATACAGATCATTCTTTAAAAACAATAAAACACTAGAATTAAATTAGGAGGAGAAAGAGTTTTTTTTTCTTTTGTACCAAAACTGGAAAGGAAGGGGGAAGATTAAGGAGAGAGAAACGGTGACCAGGATGGGTCGCCTACTAGTGGTGCTGGCCGCTGGTGGTCAGTGGTGGAGCTGATGGTTCTTCGATGGTCGCCGATGGGAAAAAGACGAATGACATAATTACACTATTGATTTTGTGCTTTAAATAAGTAAACTTTGTTGGAAGAAATATGTTTGTAAGCAATTGATATCGGAGAAGAAGATGTAAAAATTTATTGTTCTTGCTATTATACAAATTTTGGATATTGCACCTTACAACAATTGAAGTATTTTGCAAACATGTCAAACTCCAATCATACTGATGCTTAGAATAAGCAGATTTACCTTTCTTATTTTGAATTATGCAAGCAGCTTGAGTCTAATGGCTCATTTAATCTCTAGATGATTACGTTTATTTTTAATAATAATTAGACTTAATGGTTTGTTTAATGGTTGGATGATTGGCTTTTATAGTAGTAATTAGGGCTTAATTTTTTTTTTTTATTAAATTGAAATTCTAGTTAAATCCAAATATTAAAATAAATTTAAAATGATGGAATAATTTATATTTTATTTGTAGGATTTTTTAGAAAATAACACCACAAATTTTAAAATTTTTTTGATTATAACACTACATTATCTCAAATTTTTTATTAAAACACCCTCCAAAAAAACCAAAAAAAAAAATGATTTCACCACCAACTAACGAATTTTTGGATGGAATCCATTAGTGGGACCCATCAAGTACACGTGGAACTTAAGACTTAAGACTTATGGTGACATCATTATTTTGAGTCTTAAGATTTATACTTAACACTTTTCCCATTTTTCTTCAAAAATCTCAAGCAAGTCTCAAGTTGAGTCTTGAAATTTCCAGACTCAACTTAAGACTTGAGATTGAGACCCACTTCACTTTTATTTTTATTATCCTTTTTTTTTTTTACACTTTTCTACATATAATATGTCAAAAATTTAAGTCTAGGGCTAAAGTGATAAATTTGTGTAAGTCTTAGTGAGTCTTAACAAGAATTTGATGACATTATTTTCAATGGGGACCACCAAAAATGATGTCACATTCAAGTCTTAAGACTTGGGACTAAACTTGCTCTTACCGCTGGCAACCCAACTCCAGCCGAAAACCACCACTGCCCCTACCTTGACCGGCAAAACCGAGCGACCAACACTCCTTTACCGGCGGCTCTACCTGTTCACCTCTTCCTCCTCCCCGAAAACAGCCCAACTACTTCAAATCACCGCAAAAACCACCACAAAAAAAACCTCCTTTTGCTCCTGTTTTACTTAATTGTTAATATTAACAACTTAGTTTGGCTTCTAATTGTATGGATCTGATACCAAATCGACGTAGCTACTAAGATTAATATATAAAATTATAAAATAGTTATTAATAATACAACTAGTAAAATTTTCTTTAGAAAATAGGTTTACTTAGGATCCTTCGCTGGATACTATTTTTGTACCACTAAATCGTAGTTTTCTACTACTGAGACTATTAATAATACTACTGAAGATCAACAAACTTACTAGCTTTTTTGAAATTTTTTCTAACTTTTAGAATGTAATCAGATATCTACTACTACCAAATAACTTAATATTACTTAATAACAAAGTTGTACTACTAGGAATTAAAATACTACCACTAAGAACTACAATGATACTAATTCGATTTACAAAAGTACTTTAAATATTTATGGTTTGCGAAAAGTCCAAATTACCCTTTGTTATATATTTTCTCATACATCACAGACCTTGATTAGTACTTTCTCATTTATCGCCTACGTGATTCGACACTTGACAAAAAACTGGAATGTCAGTGTCAATGTCTCGTGGCCTGACAATGTGACCGGCTTTATATATTAGTGATATGATATGATATTAGATTATTGTATTTGTTGTAATACGCACCGTATTGCGTAATATGAACGGATTAATAATACCGCTAAACATCACCGTTTAGCTTCCCATGCAAAAGTAAATATCTCCGCTCAGAACCTCATGCTCGATTAGACATTTCACTGCGTGTTTAACATATCGAGTAAACACTGTTCATGCAAAGGTACTATAAATCCCCGCAAAATATGAAGGAAATATACACAACAATTATCGGGATATCTAAAAGCTTTCTTTTGATCTCTTTGAAATCCTTTGTTATAAAACACATTATCAACACCAATTTGCTCAAATTACTCAAAAGGTAGTTTTGCTTTTTCAAATTTTAAATTTAACTATCAACTTATTCATTACTTAAAAATGGAACACCAATATAATGGCGTCAATATATTTTTGAATAATATATCACTTTCACATATATATTTCGTAGTAGAATGTAATGTCATACCTTGTGGTACAATACAATCAGCCCGAGGAAGTACAAATCAAGCCCGAAACACTAACGCTGCCGAAGCCATCAAAATTCCACAAGTTGTCCTTAACCTCAATGAAAATCCTCCAGTACCACCAACCAAAAACGAACCCCCTCCTCCAGATACTAATAAGAGAGGAAGAGATGAAACAGATACTGCCACCACCGCTATTACTCGTAATAAACGTCCTCAAGGCGACTAATAGGCCACTTTAAGCAAATTAGCAACCTTTATGGAGGGCAAGATTTGCATTTTAAGCTGCCTATATGGACGGGCCAAACTCTCAAAATGTCGCCTTGATGGTCGCCTTATGTTTTAATTTGAGAACAAGGCCACCTAAAATGGTAGGCAATTTATGGCTGGAAGTACGAAGACAAATTTTTCGTTTATTACATGAATTTAATTTTGCCTATTATTTCATGAAGCAAATTTATTTTTGACTATAAGAAATTCTCTTCTCCTAATTATTTTGTATGAATATTTCTTTAAAAAGGAAGGAAGATAGTAAGGATGAGTATGAATGAAGAGAACAGATAAGAATGC